AAGGTTTAAATTTGAGTGCAGCAGTGAAAAACTAAAGGCACACCTTTGTATACATTACGTGTTGATGTTTATTGCGTTTTGTTACCGATGTAAATAAAAACAATATAAACGACACTTAACGTGTTTTCAACGTAACAGACTTGATTTATGATATGTAATGTTTTATCTCATAGAATACACAGGGACAGGACATCCTGTGGTCACTACACCAGGTTCTACCGGAAAAGAGGATTCCGCCGGAGTACTTATCTAAATTCGACGGTGAACACCTTTGGATTGCTGTTGAAAGCATGACTTAGGTATATATCATTTAAATTTTGTGGTCTTTTTTTGTGTGTTTTTTTGTACAAAATATGCCCATGGAACCAGAGATATTTAAGTATTGTACAACACAGATATCAGTCAAGCTCAACACATTGAACTGTTTTCAATTGATGCTCAACACCATTTGGCTACCCCTCCATCAATTTACGAATGCGACTTATTCTTTGTCAGAAATATTAAATATACGTGATCAAATTATCTCGGACAAAGGTTGTTATTTCTGGGGGGTTTTTTTTGGGGGGGGGGATTGGGGAACAGGGCATCCCGGGGTCAATAGGAGAGGGAGAGAAACACTCGGGAGGATGGAAAAATTCTGTGAATCAGAGATACCCCGAGGAAGAAGGAGTGAGGAGAGAAGAAAGAATATTCGTCATGAATGAATAATATAATTCAGAATGTGGAACATCACTAGATAAAAAACACCCTGATATACTTTTGTGAATAAACAACTTAAATACAGTTTTGGGGACGGAGGTAGGGGACACCCTGTGAAATACACAAATGTATAGATCCTCTTGGGTAGTAGCAGGATACTGTTTGGATGACAAAGGGAGAAATACTTTGCAGAAATATAGTTATCACCAGTTAAAAAAATACCCTGGCATACCCGGCACTTTTTCATTAAAACTAAACTTAGAACATCCTGTAATATACGTTCATGGGAATAGAAATAGATACATCCTGGTTGAGGGCATCTCTTTCTCTAGACAAGAGTTACGATCTGGTACGGTCCGGTCTAATTACTCACTGAAGATAGAGTAAGTAGACCGTACCGTACCCAATCTCCACGCAGAGTTTAGTCTCGTTCAACCAGACGCTTGATCACTTGTAATTCAAGAGACTCTCTGTTCGGCATAGCTTGCGCAGACAATAAGAGTCTGGTTGAACGAGACTAAGCAGAGTCTCGCTTTAGTGTGCGTGATTGAAAAGGAACGACAACTCTGGGTAGAGATTGTATCGTACCGGATCGTAACCTGGCTAGCGAAGATCAATCGCCAAAACTCGGGTGACTCCGCGACGTTCCAGGTACGAGCCACCCGAGGAGTTCCGAGTGAGCGAAGATGGGTTGAGGGGAGGGGGTTGTGAGAGAGAGAGACCCGGGGAGGGACACCCTCTTGTGAGCATATGCTCAACAGGACAACAGTTTATTATATACGTAGTTAATTATAATGTCAGGGGTCGAGTCCTGGTAGAGACGTTATCAGCACATCCTTTATGTTTAATTAGTTGATAATGTGTTGCTATAGAGTTTCCATACAGAGTATCAATATCACGTACCCAGCTGTTACCATCGTCAAGTTCGACAGAGTGGGTATAGTCCTCAGACTTGGTACAAACATGACTGGGAAAACTTGTAATGAATTCAAATGTGTGCCTCGCTTCTGATAAACCGTTATCGCTCTCACCATCGAGAAATGTATGGGAACATATGGTGAAGGAAATTATGATTCTGTAATGTATTCATGATAACATTAAAATACCATACTTTAAGCATATTGACGATGGGATTTTGTTGTTGTTGTTCAGTTTTAGAAAGTAAATTCTAAACTATAAATATTAAGCCATGTTGACTGGTGAATAATGTATATAGTAAGGAGTAAACTAAACTTGATGACCTCACAGTCTTATGTGTTCACTGACGCTGAAAGTTATAAACATCATTAAAAAAAATTGTCGTAATCGCAGACTTCAACAATATAAATTAAACCTAATTATATTGCAAATATGATGAAGCAAATTTTATCAAATTTCAAAATATTTTTTAAATAACTAGTCATGTTGAACCGGATGAAACACACAGGGGTCCTTGTGCGGAAGCCGGAAAATAGCGCTCGTGACTCGACAACTTCTTACGTCCATCTGCACTATCCATCACCCATAGATATCCTATTCATGTAGATTGAATATAAACATCATATTCAACTGATTGAATAACTCTGAAATATATATGTCATGTTTGATGATGATGATATGGCGGGGTAGTTTTTACCACCCGTGATGCATCATTCAAAACGGCGTATTTTAAGAAGGCCCCAAACATTGCGGCCTTAGTTCATCTTTCTCCCTTTAATTATATGGTTATCTCCAGTTAAACGCCCGGTTCATCTTTTATTACTAAAAATAATTAAGGCATCCAGTTGAACTTCAGGTTAATCTTTTTATTCCCAACAAATAATGGCCTGCAGTTAAATTCCCGATATTCCGTTTTTCCTTTAAAAGTATCTCCGCCAAGACGGTTGCTAAAGATGAATCTTCCTGTTCGCTTTCAACTTACTTCAAATATGGCCACCGAAATTAGACCTTATTGTTTTGTTGTTTCCGGTGTTCTTTTGACGTTGTTTTCGTTGAATTTGTCGGTGACGGTGGTGTTTCAGTGTCATTGAATAATATATCATTGTTCTCGTGATAAATATGTAATATGTGCATTTTTTATTTTGCCCGTATTTGGCGAATCATTAACCACTTGCAATGGAGGTGTTTGGTTGCACACCGTATATACAACTGCATTCTAACACAAACAGAATTTTCCAACGGCTTTTACTATTTTGACAAATTGATCCTCCTGTCAAAGAAACACCCTCCTGCTGCGCCCTCTTTCTTTCAGGCTGATTTAAATTGTTTAAAATACGTGGGCTTTATTTAAAGGACTTACTTTGCATTTTATTTATTGTTAAGCCTATTTGTGTGTTATCGAGAAGTGTCAAAGCCATGCGTCTTTTCTGATAAGATAGCCGTTCCGGTTTCCCAGGAAGGAGGATATAGCTCTTATATATGATTGGATAAGCCGATCCCAAACGAAACGTAACTAATTTATGATAAACAGCATTCCTGAAGGAGAAAGCAAGCTCTTGGCTTCCTTACAGCATTTATATCATAGTTATCTTCACCCTACTATTTGTGTACACAATGTACCTATAGCTAGAAAAATGTCGTTCTTGTGTACTGAGACGTGACGGAAAATATCTACTAACAAACCGTCTCTGAAGTACAGTGTATGGTGCTCTCTGCTTTACACATGATGTAAATCCTCGTTATACTGCCACCCTTGTTCCGGGGAAAGTTTGGCGTTATAAAGCGGTTTGACGATAACTTGAGGGAAAAGGATAGAAGAATTCTTCAGAAAATTTAGAAAAATGGACATTGAAATGTGTTGGCGGTAAACGAGGTGGCAAAGGAAAGAGGGGCATTATATCGAGGTTTTACTGTTTTGTACAAATACAAGTTGCTCGGAAGGGATTAAAATTACATATATATATATATATATACTCCGTCAAATAGTCAAAGTTGACGCATGATTCCAAGTATAGTCAGCTTAAAAAAATCTTTACGAATTGAAATAGTAAACAAACATGAAATCACCTACTAAAGGAACTGCGAGACGGCAGATTTATCTAATTTGATATATATATATCTATTATAAATCAGAAAAATGATCCTTACGGACGAAGAAATATTATAAAAAGAAAAATTCTCAACAACGAGTCTTTAGTACTTTCAACTCTTCTAGGAGATACTTGTATCGTTTGTTTTGTATGGTATACTATTTCCTATGTAATATAACCAACTCCTTGTGATACTGGTATTCCCAATCGTCCGTTGTAGATCATTTCTCCTGACGTAAGTGTTAAACCCGGCCATCGGGACCTGCTCAACGCCCGGCAAAAATATCTTTGTACCATATGACTACCATGACATAGTGTAATAAAGCCCGATTATGTAAATTTTCTTTATGACACACGTTTAATATTTAGCCTAACTGATTGGCTAGTTTCGTATGAAATGCATGGGAATGAGCTATATCCTTTTACAACGTAGCTTACCATGTCGACTTGGTTCAAGACGTTAATAACCAAAATATTCCTCTGAACCAGATAATGCCAAATCAACGATCATCGTAATTAATTTTCAGAGCTTAAGTCAATACAAGAATATATTGAAGATCCCCTGGCTCAAACACAAATGTGAAACAGGACCATCAGCTGAAACGATCCTCGACAAAGACGTCATCAAAATACTACAAAAAAGTCAGCCTCGAACGTCGCCTGTCATGGTAATTTGGACACACTCGATGTAAACAACACCGACAGTAGGTCAACTACGAGTCTCGATTTTTGCAACAAGTGACGTAACGCCAGACGTCACATACGTATAGGGTCGCTCGGGCGCCAGCAAGTCAAGATTCTATTTTACATTTATTTCAATATGAAAAATTCAAAACTAATATAAATCTTATAAGAAGGATAGCTTATGATAGATCCTCTATGTCAATTGTTGCGTTAAATAACATATTGTACACATTATCTTCCTCGGAAACAAGTACAAGTATTTTTGCATGAACATAATACACATGTGAACATTTACCAACACGTTTGCCTTAACCGGAATATAATTAAAAATAAAATCAATATTTATCAACATTGTGATATGAATGTGTATGTTTCACCTCAGTGCGAAATGGTTTCCATTCATTGACTAACTTGGGCTATCGGTGCGATTGCTCAATGCCATTCCTTTATGTTTACATACGTAAGCAACCCACACATTTTCATGTGACGTAGCATAGGATAGTGGAAAATTTTAGGTCAATAGTAAATACTGCGCATGCGTACACATCTGTTTCACATAGCTATTGAATGGAGCTACTAATGATCAGAGCCCTATGATTGGCTGGCGTTCGCGAGCATGACGAGAGCACAATATACACACGATGATGAAATCAACAGCTCAATATTAAAATAGATACGGACCGAGTAAGGTCCTACGGTTTGAGGGAATAAACAATAACAATAACAAAACAAAACGTAAACATGAAAGGACACATCGGTGTACCAGTGAGTGAGAGTGAAACTGACCCAATGTTCGCTGCTGAAGCATTGGATGTAAATGACCGTCAAAACGAACCGATGAAACTGGACATCGGAGATGGAATGACCCTTACTGTGGTAAGTACAAAATAACTTGTATTTTCTTTTTTTCTATAACGTACGTACTTGGGCTAATGTCTTTATTTGTTAAAAATTGGAAACACGAAAGATGGCTAATATTTTATGTTAATCTTATGTTGTTTGTGTGGATTCTGATGGTGTGCACCATGTTTTAACGTTTTTCAGCAGATGTATGGTATACTTTTCAATATTTAAATACTAAATATTAACTTTGTGATGTATTTTCCTTGTAAGAGTATGAAATGAGATAATTCCTGTTATACAATTTCTAAATTTTCACGAAACATGATTGTTTTGCGCCCAAACCGGAAACTTGAGGCCAGCGATGGGAGTAATTTTTAATATAAATAGGGTTATATAAAATTTAGCCCGCTAACAGCATTTGTACATAATTAAAAAAGGAAATGGGATTTAATTCGGTGCTTTAAAAATCCTACAGAGACATTTCATATTTATTTATCTCATTAAAACTTTTATTAACCCATAGTATTAACACGCCGTTTCCGGTTCGTGTGTTTTTCCCTTAAAAGGAAATGAAAAATACTGAATAACTTGTGCATAAGGGAGGTTTTTCTTCCGCTCTTTTGAATTATGAAACTTCAGAGTAACCCAAATTAATTTCCTGTTAAAAATTTCCGCAATGAATATGATCATTTATACAAATTTACACTGTTATATGTGTTATCACTCAGTTTACCCGCGCTGAGAACGATATGATTCATTCATTCTTGGAACCCCCCTGGTATTCGTCCGGTATTTATGGTTTGAACACTCCCACAGCAGCTATAGAACACATTATCACCGCAGACCAGCAAAGCATGCCCCAGAGATACCGTCTGTGGTAATGAGCTTACAGTAAAGCGTTTGTGTCCAGAAGTATTTACGCAGCATACATGTGTAGTAGGTGCTGCTCCCGTGAATGTGTGTGTGTGTGTGTGTGTGTGTGTGTGTTGTTTTTATTCGCGTTTTCCGCTTTATTGAAATAATTTACATTAACGATACCATAGAGTTAATATCCCTGATAATAAACAAATATTTTAATTGAGAGTTTTGTAAGCTGGAATGCTTGCAACAACAGTAACTGCGTTTTCAAAAATGTCAAATATGTTTCCATGCCAATCGTCTGTCACTTGTATACATATATAAACGAACTCCCGCGCGTTTTTCGTCCGACCAGTGCTGTTAATTTGGCATAGTACATTACGTAAGACTTTCTATTTATAAGGAACACTTAGTTACCTTTGACCCAATGACTTAATTTGAACCATGTACCAACAACTTTTGACCTTCTTTCAGGCAACACAATACACATTTAAAGACCAGAGCATAGAGGGGCATTTGTAACTAATCTCTGGTATTCATTAACACGGTTTAAACATCTGCGGAACAGATTATCCCCATGTCAGGGTCACTAGCCTCGAGTGACCACGTGCTGCATGTGTGCTCCTGCCTGGGTATCATCGCGTGCTATTAATTGTTTGTTCATAATAATATTCATATTTCAAGTTAATTTGAGTGAAACAGGAAATGTTGTGATTTGTTAAGTTTTCGCGCCTTTTTCTACGTTTAATTGCACACGTACGGCACTCCCTGAACGCATTAAAGCGCACACACATGTAGATCCATCACCCAGGTGGAAATTTTAATCAATATATTTGTACTTGTACACTCAACTTAGTGTGTTTGCCTTTTTTCGATCCTTCTAGAAGCCGGAACAAGGTCGTATAGAATATATAACCAACTAGTTTACTTATGAACAATCAAATGGTAAAATTTTAATTAATCTGACCGGAGTTTGAACTTATTTTTCCATTAGCGCTATTCACGTCAACGCTCACTGCAAGCACTCGATACAGGGTGCTAGTTATAACATTACTCAGAGGCGGCTTTCCATGCTAATAAGCAATGACGTCACTGAAGGTATTACGGAGACTGTTTAGCTAATTACCATATATTGATGGTGAGCTATATATATCTAGATAGAGATAGGTATCTGTTTCTGACACATCACTAACCACATATACTGACCACATGCCCTGGTATCACCAGTCAGCATGCTGGTCAGTGAGGAGGTCAAATCTATTTTTATTTCATTAATGTCATATTCCGGATCTCATGTTTCGATGGTTATGGCATGGTCAGCGCGCATGCTGAGTGGCGTTCCCGCTCGGAACTTGACACGAGATTGACCCTGTTCTATATTCACAATGTCCGAAGATGTTTGGGATTTATATCTCTCGGTAAATCTATAAGACAGAATGTCAAAGATAAAAGAACTTTGATGAAACGTCGATATTACATCAATATAATTGTTTCTGGACTCGAGCCTCGATCTGATTACTGCTGCCCATGTTTTTTAAGATAAAGACAGACACGAGACAACACTTCTACGAAAACAGCTATATAAACAGAGAAACCCAATCCCCTATTAGGGTTTAAAGCTATTCAGGGGAAAATATATGATTTTCCAACGTTGATTTAGTAAAACCGCTTTACAAAGTTGATGGCTTCGTCTCAGGACGTTTTTACGCCACAATTTCTCACCCCTAACACTATTTCTCACCCGGGTGGGGAAAACCATGTTTAAAATGCTATGTTTGCAACACGATTTCTCACCCCTGCACAATTTCAAGAGTGAGGATTTGCCTGTATATTAACCAAACATTTAAAAGGCGTATATTTACTAATAGGAAAACACACAAGATATTTCAAAGCGAATAAACAGTGAAATTAAAAGCCAGCACGAAAGTATTCAGGTGGGTGATTATTTATAAAATTTTAAACATATACGCTGACACTTAGACGACACATGGATCGCTGTATGTTCAATGGTAGTCAACGTAAATATTCCACAATGAACCATATTATTGATTTGTATGTATATGGTGTTACCTAGCCGGTGAAGTAATTGATATTTGTTTGATGGTTTGTTGGATGTTAGAAGGCTATGTCAACAAAATTTTGTCAAACTGTATTACGAAACTTTATACATAATAGTTCACGACCCCACCAAGTGATCAAAGAGCTAAACGAAATTACAAACGTCCCGGTCAATATCTCGTTATGTAAATAGTAACGGTCTCTATGCATTTAAAGCACCATAAGAATTCAGGGAATTTTGTGAACGGAAATTAGAAATAAGCAATTTCGTTTGTAATGAAATGTAAAAGCAATTGTCACGTAAGGTCTGCGTAAGTTCCACTTTGAAAAGACATGTTTCGTGTCATGAAATCGGTATGTATGTAAAGAAAAGAAAATATGCTTGCTCCTTTATGTTTTATTAATCCTGAAAAGACACCGAACGCGGAGAGCGATTATTGAGGTGGTATTCAAATAAAAACGACACTTTAATTCCCTATGTTGCTTTTATCGGGTATTTAAATTGTAATACAAGACTAGTTTCAGTTAATAACCTATATAATAGCAGATATAGAAGAAAATCTGCGATTCTGCAGGGGCTATGGGGATCAACAAAAATAATTGCTCAGGTGATTTCCATGAAAACTACGAATATACAGGGCAGTGCGAATCGTTCATTAACCCCGCCCGATAACAGTAACGTACACACTACCTCTCTGTTTGGGGTAGAGTGGGGTAGGTAAGGGCGAGGGGTAATGTTCTAATATGTATAAAACAATGAAATATCAACAAACATTGATGACTAATTTTTGTAATGAACACAAACACCAAGCGATGACGTACATGTTTTAAATCTATAATTGTAATGACGATGTATTTTGTTGTTCTAATTATTTCAGACTGAAGTCCATCCTTGTTTCAAGTCTGTACCGGAAGTCGATAGTAAAAACAGTTCCGAAAGTATCGGAAGTTCACAGGAGAGTAATAGCGAAGAGAGAGCCGAATGGGGCGGGAAGATGGAATTCATTCTTACTTGCGTAGGCTACGCAGTTGGTCTCGGCAACGTTTGGAGGTTCCCCTACCTCTGTTACAGGAATGGCGGAGGTGAGATTCCGGACATGTAAAAAATTAGGAGCAAATAATTGGTTTCACAAGGGGGTTTAAAAAAAAAATATGAGTAAAAACATTTAATAAACAAAACAACAGAATCAAATATTACAATAGCAACAGCAACAACAAAATCCACGTGACTTTTAGTTTTGCAAACGGCAGCAAAATATTCATATTTTTTCCTAATATATGTTTGTACTGTAAGTTGAAGGAAGGATTTAGATTGTCTATTTGTGGTTTTAGATACCGTAGATATTTCAGTCTTGATTTTATTCTGTAATTGGCAGCAACAGCTAGTAAAAATCGTTTAGAACTAATGAGTTTCTATTTTGGACATGTCTAAATTCAGCATTGACAAGCTCTTGATTTCCCTGGAAACGAACGACACCCAGTCGCTGCAACTCTGCGTTTAAATATACGTAGTAGCACAGCCGCTGACGTCAATGCTGTCTGAAGCAGATATCGATCGGTTGTCGCGGGATCTGTTGTCAAAGATTAGTCAGCTTTACCGGACTTTTACTCCATAGATTCTCTATATATTTTATATGTTGTTTCATACCATACCTTCTATGTAGGGATATCTGTTAGATTGTCGTCGGGTCGGCCATGCTGTGTTAGTTTATTAAGACGTGGGAGTCGGAAACACTTTGGTTCACTTCGGTGCACAACGCCAATTCCCAGCGGCGTTAAATAATTTACTTCTAACATTTCAACACTTTCCGTTCTAGTTTTCAACATCAAAGCCCTTCCTTGATCTATTTATAAATAATTCCATCTTATCTTTTCTTATAATGAACTATATACTGCACAGAAAATTCAATATCTGCTAACGTATGTGAGAAATGCAAATTAGCCAGCCTCAGTACCTCACCGCGGGAACACACGTGTTACATAGTGGCGGATGTCGCTTGTGAAGTGTCTCTTCCTGGACGACACAACAGATAATGCTTTGTTGACGTAGGGGTGTCACAGCTTGCTCGGTTGACGTCATTGATGAAATGTGTACACTTCAAAATACTGGAGAACAAGTTTGACAGTCTAGAGATAACACGATAAAATGTAAACATTGCAAATTAATCAGTATCATACACGACATCAGCTAATTGACGAGAAAGTACGAGAATAGCGAGAATATAAACAAGGCCATGAAAAGTAGTTCATGTATGTTCCCTACATTTATACATTTATAGCCAACCCTGTCGAATTTTTGTTGGTTTCAATTTCATTATGTAGATATATATCTAACATAGAAACACAATTTACAAAGGAAGAACCTGATTGACTTCTGCCCTATCCGGGCCTCGAACTCACGACTCCGGCACTAAATCACCTTGCCGCAACTCTAAACATAACACTGATGCGGGCCTTCCGAAAAAAAGGAGGTTTTAATGTTTCAATCGTCAACAGCTCCATAATCTCAACCTGATCATTGTAACAAAACGTTATTTATAGTAATAAATAGGATATGAACGATAAACAGTAGGTTATGTTAATGAGCATGCGAGTTGCTAATTGGACACTGACGTAAAGATACATTGCCTAGACACCAACGGGGTCATACAATAGCTTGTTATCATAACGAAACATAAAATAAACTGATATAGCCGTTGTGACTCAGTCGTTTGTTTATTTGTTTTGACAGTGCATATACTTGTGTATTTTAGGCGCCTTCCTGATCCCATATACTCTGATGTTGGCGCTGGTTGGTTTACCCTTATTCTACATGGAGTTGGTGCTGGGTCAGTACGCTAGTCTGGGCCCTATCGCTATATGGAAACTCAGCCCCTTATTCAAAGGTATGTACAGGAAAATACACGTATATGTATTCCCTTTTCATTCATATACTATAACACTGTTTTCGTCTTCAAGATAACTTTCGTTTTGTTGACGTTTTGCGACACTATCTATTGTTTTCGTTTGAAAGTTTCAGAAATATGACACTTACCTTGTCTATTTTAGGTCTCGGATACGCCATGGTGATTGTGTCGCTGTTGATTGGTCTATATTATAATGTCGTCATTTCGCATGTCCTCTACTATCTCTTCAAATCCTTCACGGATGTTCTACCGTGGGAGTCATGTGACAACAGCTGGAACACCAACAGTTGTCTGCCCTTTGATCACCATGTTACTAAAAGCAACATATCAGGTGAGTTCAATTTGAATCACGGATAATGAATAATAATGATTTTGTTAGAAACGGTATGTGTAGTAAAGTTTTCATTTAATCATTAACCCTTCCCGAAATGTGTCTATTTCCAATTTGAAACATCATTTCCGTCAATGTTGCAGATTCCAATTCAACTGTCCATATTGATCCAACTGCTTACAAGACGCCAACAGAAGAATATTATAGGTAAATCATAATAGTCCCTGCTCAATTATTTCAAAAGTGTAAAGAATGTTATCAATTTATGTTAAAAGGAAAAGTTTACTACTACCAGTACACTATATATAATTTGCTCTGGTTTTTCTTTGAAGGCGTAACGTGTTGAACCAGTCGGAGAGCATCGATGACTTCGGGACGGTGGAGTGGCATCTAGTCATTTGTCTTTTCGTCGCCTGGCTCGTTGTTGGTCTGGTCCTTCTGAAAGGCATCCAGTCTCTCGGAAAGGTGAGTAATTGAATAGTTGATGGGATAAAATTTATACACTTTACTATGTCTTCTCATCTTCGCTCTATGCACCCCTGGACTGTGTCATAACAAAATCGAAGGAGACAAGAAAACCAGTTTGATCCTTTGATGTACATCAAAAGAATCTCTCGGTCGTGTAACGGTAAACATTAACTACCTTTTAAGTTGGGTGTCGCTCCTCTGTAATCTTCAAAAGACATGTATCAGCCTAGCGATTGGTCAGAATTTTTTTACTCGAAAACAATCAAATAGCTAGCCGCGTGCCTTCAATTTTGCTATGACAAATTCTAGGGATGTAGTGAGCGAAAGTGAGCTTTACCCCTGGAGTATCGAGGATGGTCTGTTCTGTGCTAAACCTGTTCTACTTTCCATCTTTAGAATAGTGTAAAACATGGCATGACTGTGTAAATGAAAAAAGCAACCATGAAAATAAATAAACAATATATGATATACCGATATTCCTCGTTAACAGGTTGTGTACTTCACCGCCATTTTCCCATATGTGATGTTGACTGTGCTGTTTGTCCGTGGCGTGACCTTGCCGGGTGCTTCCAAGGGCATCTTGTACTACCTCGAACCTGATTTTGAACGTCTTTTGGACCCGCGCGTGTGGAGTGACGCAGCCACCCAGATTTTCTACTCCCTCAGCGCATGCTCCGGAGGTCTGATTGCCATGTCCAGTTACAACAAGTTCAACAATAACTGTTACCGTGACGCCCTCATTGTCTGCTGCATCAACTGTGGCACCAGTGTGTTCGCCGGTCTTGTCATCTTCTCTGTCCTCGGCTTCATCGCCACGGAGAAGAACGTGGACGTCGCTTCTGTGGTTGACGATGGTAAATATTTCTGACGTCATATTATGTACAATGAAGATATGTGAAGCAATACACGCCGTGCAAACGACAGCAAAACAACTACATTATAACCACCCTCTTGAAAATTTTAACTGCTTTATTTGCATTGATTTGGCGTGAAACACAGTAAAGTATATACTAGTGTCAGGAGTATCTATAGTGGAATCTATTGTGATGCCCAAATGATGTGATTCGTGTGTTATCATTCTGTTTTATATAATATCCTTGCCTTGATTCTACAGGTCCTGGATTGGCCTTCATCGTGTACCCGGAGGCTCTAGCCAGAATGCCCGTCGCTCCGATGTGGTCCGTATTTTTCTTCATTATGATGGCCACCCTTGGGTTCGGATCTCAGGTATATACGAAGCAAGTGTTTTACAGTCTGTTGTATTTCAAAATAAAATGATTTGATTAATATCTGGTAGGCAAAATTAAACTTGAACAGTATTGAACCCTCGTCTTTACTTAAATTTATCACACTATTACAACTTTCCATTTTCACGGGTACGGGTGTTTGTTTGGCCTCTGAACCATGCTGAAATCATGCTCTTTCTTTACAAAGGTACGCTTGGCTCGTCATAATATGACATGTAAAAATAGCAATAACAAAATCTTATACAAAAGTCACTGATAAATCAACTGCAGCAAACTTGTAAACTGTGTAATTATCCTTTGGTATTGATTCCGTTTCAGTTTTCCATTATTGAGTGCGTGTTTAGTTCCATATCTGACGAGTTCCCCATCCTGAAGACAAGCCGAAACAATATCATCTTCCGAGTCGTCGGTTGTATCGTCTTTTTCCTTCTTGGTCTTCCAATGATCTGTCGCGTAAGTTTCTGGGTTAAAGTTAAATTATCATATTTTGTTAAATAAATAACCTCTCACAAAATCACATGTCAACAGTGTATGTGTAAAGTTTTTATTCACATCCTCACCCCGTCAACACATTTCTCTACTAAAGTCAAAATACCAATTAGAAGAGGCCATTATTCACGGGAAAAATATTCGCCTTTTTTGTTTTAATTTCTCCGAGCAGTCTTTTATAACTGCAAATATAGAAAAATCAATCTCACACGAATAATTTCAGTTATACAGTATGCTTTTCATATTTTCATTTTCACGTTAGAAAAGCAGAAATGTCGACACTATAAACATGTCATGACCTCTGATCGTTTACCGTAAACTGACCTTTCTGATTGTTGTTACAGGGAGGAATCTGGATGCTGAACCTGGTAGACTACAGTGTGGGCGGCTTTCCTTTGTTGGTGGTCGGCTTCATGGAGTTGCTGATCATCACCCGCATATATGGTAAGTTCTGCAGCAAGACAAAGACGACGGTGTTCTGGCATAGTCTTTAGCGATGGTGTTCTGCCATAGTCTTTAGTTCCATAGGCGATGGTGTTCAGGCATAGTCTTTAGTTCCATAGACGATGGTGTTCTGCCATAGTCTTTAGTTCCATAGCCGATGGTGTTCTGGCATAGTCTTTAGTTCCATAGAGGATGATGTTCTGGCATAGTCTTTAGTTCCATAGACGACAGTGTTCTGCCATAGGCTTTAGTTCCATAGACGATGGTGTTCTGGCATAGTCTTTAGTTCCATAGACGATGGTGTTCTGCCATAGTCTTTTGTTACATAGACGACGGCGTTCTGGCTCCAGTCTGTAAATACATAGAGGTTGGCATTCTGCAACTGTCTGTAAACATAGTTTCAAACTTAAATCAGCAAAAACTAATCATGACAACGCCTTTCCATAACTCTGATATCATGGCTTCATCTTTGTTAATACGACATACATAGAGAATAAAACTAGCCTTTTTCTATATCACACCCAGTAACAAAACGAGACTGCAATATCAGCCCAAGGGCTTATTTATTTTATACTTGTGAATATATATGTAAAGGTTGAGTAGTGTTCGGACAACACATATACTGGGTAACACATTTCTATATTGAGTTATTTTGTACTTAACAGGTTACAGTGAATTCTCTGACAATATAAATTCCATGCTTGGAATCCGACCAAACAAATACTGGGAGATCTGCTGGAAGTGGGTGTCGCCCTTTGTTGTGTTGGTAAGTACTAGACACATCGAATACAATTATACTTGTTGTAAACAAATAACAAATAAACAATTTAATAAGATTAAGCTAAACATGACAATGACAGTATTTCAAATACCGTACATATATAACATAGAAGTAGCAAAGGACCGAATGGAAATGATGAAGTGGAATTGTCATTTTCAACATTAAATGATGAAGCTAATATGCTTCAAGTAATGTATTATAAAAACTCTTTAAATAGATACAATAGATACAGTTGTTTACATGATGATACAGTTCATTTATAAAACCCTCCAAGCTCTCATATATCTCCTTTTAAAACAAAAACATTTTCCCGACGATCAATACTGTTGATTTGGCATCATAGTGATAACTATGCTCTTTCTTACAGGTGACACTCATAATGAACATCGTCTTCTTCAAAGAGCCCGACCTGGACAATGTGACGTATCCTAGCTGGGCCGTTAGTCTGGGCTGGCTCATCGCAATGTTTCCCGTCACGACCATTGCGGTCCTTGCTCTATACTACTATTGTCGCAATGGAGGATTTATGGTAAGTCGTCATATCAATAACCGAGTTCAATATATTGTGCAGGTTATTTTTCGCGAGGTTCCATTTTCGTGCTTTCGGGGGAAACTTTTTTTCACGTTAAAATATATACCTCGAAAATAATAGCAAACTACTCAATGCTCACAGTAGGACCTTCTGTGATAGCAACTAGATCTGAGATCCGCGAAAATTAGATCCCGATTTTTTTTTTTTTATCAAATCTATTCATTAACCGCGAACTTAATTTTTACAGTATATGTATCGCATATAAAATACACGAGTATAATGTTAATATTATACAGGTCAACGATTTTTGTGTTGAGTGTTACCTGTTCCTGCTATTGTCCATCATGTGCATTGCAGTTTTGGCAAAGTCAATTTTCACTTAATACTTATATATTACATCATGTTTTGACAGGTTGAAAGTAATTTTTTTCTTTCCTTGTTACTTACAGGTGCTGCAAGAATCAGTGAAGTCTCTGCCTACTTGGGGACCAGCAGACAAGACCAAGGGAGAGTACTCTTTGGGCAAATATGACATGACTTTCGCTGCCGGTGATGTCGGTTACAACCCCGCATTCGCTCGTCTCATGGGAAGTAATATATCAACGAGCACAAATAGTACTGACGTCACGAACATTGGGGCATCAGTGAGGACTGTAAACAGAATACCCGGAAACGGAAGTATAGGAGGGTCTACGTATATATTCTCATCCAACCGTTCTAGGGAACCTAGCGAGTCCAAAGTTTGACCGTAATATAACTTGTTAAAAGTTGTGTGTGAGATTTAGGTTTGTTAAAAGTTGTTAGAGAGTGAGATTGCATAATGTTGTGATGATATTGTGATATATGTCAACAATGCAATTAGACTTAAAATGTGTTCTATTAATGCATCACAGCGTTTAAATTCAATGATAAATATTGTACTGCCAAACCAGGTTAATCTGGAACTTGTTAATCCAGCAATTCTACAATATGGGTACCCCTTTTTTTGTGACTGAACTGTAGACATTAATGTTGTTGCGTGAAAGTGCATGATCTAGTCAAGTCGGTTCTTATCGGTAACATATATAAGTTCAACAAATACCATTTATTCTTAAGGTAAAGGGCACCACTGCATCAGTTGCAATCGCCAAGAAGAGTTAAACAAAGCAATGAAAGGGAGTTTTCCGGCTTGAAGAAACTTCCATTTTGAAGATTTTCATTTGCTTTGCAACCCATATATTCATGGACAATTAATTTTGTTTTGCGCTTTTGTAATGCCTGTACGGACACATTGGTACAGTGGATTCTTTGTAGTATAAAGGACCCCAGTTCGACGCCTGTTGATTTTCTATTTTTCCATTTTGTTATTTCTAACTACAATTCTGTAAAATGCATGGTAAAATGCGATACTTATGGGACATTTCTTTTGAAAAGGACATAAACTAATAATGCTATTAAAATGTATTGGTACCCTTTACCTTAAGATGACCGGAAACTAATAATGCTATTAAAATGTATTGGTACCCTTTACCTTAAGATGACCGGACATACGCTGGACAGTTCAACACCTATTGAGTGTAATCCAAGTCACCCCACGGTTATTTGTCATTTTTATTTGGAGTACAATGGGTTTTTACTAGCAAAGAATCCATATTGAAAATTGTATATATACCTTTTTTTAATTTCAAATCTTTCAACTTCATTTGATATATTGATAATAAAGCATTTATCACTTGAGTTTCTGATCCTTGCATGTCGAAATGTGAGATAATTGCAGGGTAATTTTACTCCTACTTAGTGAAAATATGATATGAACATACACGGCATACCAAATGTTACTGGCATCATAGATAAACCTGTGTCATTTGTCTCATGTGAACGTCAATCAATATTATGTTGTTTAAACAAAGCATATTGTTAAATTTGTCACCAGACATGGGTTCAAGAAATAGTTTTGGGTACAATCTTATTTTTGAAGTTTAGAGTAAGTCATGTGACTATGTTTATGGATTCAAATGTGTGTGCAGACGCACACTTAGATATTACTGCACGCTGCTTATGAATATCAAAACAACATACCGTGTTCATGTTAGCACTCCTCAGGGATCTGTGAGTGGTTGGCGGAGGACATGTAACAGTCTATATTTAAGCTGAAGAGTCATGGATGTTTGTGGTAGGCGGAGAATTTGAGACAATGAACAGATTGTAGAGCCATGAATGTGAGATGAGAGAGGTTGTGTCAGTCTCTCTGCTATGAATGATGTGAACATTTTGTAACTGAATTTTGGCTGAAAATCACCTTAAGTTTTGTATGTTTGCTGTGAAAGTTTTATAGAAGTTTATATTATATGTAAATATATCAGATTCTGTAAGATGAACATTGGTGTGTTGTTTTGCGAGGGAAGTCTCTGATATGGATTTGAGCTCGTTTAAACAATTAATACATTGTTATTCATTTAGTTGCGAATAATTTTTAGTTACAATGATAGGACCAAATTAAAAAGAATAAACAACATTAAACATAACTTGCCTTACAAAACTTTCCAAAAACATTAAAACAATCATTTTTGTTAATGTTTCACGTCAGTTACATATTTTAATGGATGCATTGTTAAAAGAATTTTGAAAACCAATGGCTGAATTGTCTAAGCAATGTTTAAGCTTGTTAAATTATAAGAATACCTTAGCTGTCTTGAAGCAAACAATTTATCTGTAAAGCACATTAAACATGTCCAAATCAATAAATCAACTTCAAAATCTCTTGAGATGCATCCAACCCATATCAGAATCAATTAAATACATTTTTCTAGGTCGACAATAAATGATGTCGTAGACGTAATAAAAAGGAGACGACGAGAAAAAGAGGGATAAAGTTGTGAGATGTTATTATCATCCGATTGCTTGCCGTTGCTTTTATGTCATAAGAAACTGACTTTTGTATGCTTGTACTTCGCTATAATCTCTCGTTAGTATCGCCATGTTAGACATATGTTTCATTCTAGGCAGCTTTCTAGACAATCGTAACACAAGTAGGGATTGCGATAAACTTCATCTGATTTATCTGAGGTCCATGGCAAAAAACAGCTATGCATCAGAGGAAAAGCAAACAATTAATTACTGTGATATTTCTTGTTTTGATTAGATTCAAACAATAGTCAGAAACGCGCTGTCATTTCGTTTGTAACTTTTTTTAAGAAAAAAAAATTGAATGTGTTTTCATCGATAACGAAATCTGTGAATCCTTTTCGTGTTATGATTGAACATTAGGAATATTTGAGAGCTTTCAATTTTTGTCAAAAATGTGCTCGTCTCAATCTTTGCTGGTGTTACAATTGTCTAAAGTAGAACCGAATCTCCTTGTTTGAATTGTTTATTTTGTTTCTACGAAAGTTAAACTTCCTCCGTTTAAAATTCAGCATTTTTTATATAAAACTTTTACTTAGTGTTATTTTTTAAAAGTTTAGTTTTAATGAATAAGGGCGAATCTCAAACTCGTGAAAAGGTTAAATATCATTGATAAAGATCAATCATTCTAGTAAATACAAAGTGAAGTGAAATTAATTACCAATCACTATTAAACGCAGACAGAATCTCATGCAATACATGTTTACACCATTTGAACACTCTGAATAATGTGTTCATAGACTATGCATTGTAAATATTGGAGTAATTTGTTGTAATCAATCTGTTGATAAAATGGTTCGGTATTGCTTACGGCACAATAGAACTACTACGCAAAAGCTTCGTGTCAATACAATCAACTCAATGCACGTCACTACATTTGATAGACTTAACTATCAATGTAACCCCCCCCCCCCCCCCCCCCCCGACGTTGTGAATATAACAAATGATGCATTATTTTTAAAAGGCAAGAGTCTTTCTAAGATCCACTTATGGACCTAACATAGATTGGGTAACTTTCAAGGAGTATGACATAACATCGGTTCCTAATATTATTTTCTTTATGTAAGTTTTAACCCTTTCATCCCTTTGTAATTGAGTAGACTCTACCATGCATTGATATGGGCGAGTCCATTGTGGTCTACAGTGGTGAAAGGGTTAATACTAATACGCGATGATGTAACGCTAGGAAATGTTGTACTTTATACATGGTATTTCATTTGCACTGCAGTGTTTCCTAGGTGCTCTATGCACATGACCAATAAAATATAAAATGAAATTGTATTTGCGTCTTTCTTGTTTATTTATCTTTATTATATTTTAATATAAGTTGCTCTAGTACATTTTCACATTTTATGGTAAAACGAGTGTATGTAATATCGGATGTAGGTTTATCCACATGTTACTATCAATACATCCTTGATATCCAGGGGTTACGCTCACTTTCGCTCTCTACACCCCTGGAATATGTCATTGCAAAATTGAAGGCACTCGGCCAGCTATTTGATCGGTTTCAGGTAAAAAAAAACAACACCTGACCAATCACGTGCCTGACAATTGTTCTTTGAAGAATACAAAGGAGCGAAACCCGACTTCAAAGCCTGTCAATTTTTGCCATTATGCGGCCGCGAGATTCTTTTGATGTACATCCAAGGACCAAATTGGTCTTGTCGTCTCATCCACAAGGTTGTGCACATTGAGCCTTCGATTCCAGGGCACCTCGATATCCAGAGGTGTAGATAGCGAAAGTGAGCGTAACCCCTGGATATCGAGGATGCTATCAATATGACAATACTAATAAACAAGAAGCCTAACATTCATCATACAGCAACATACCACGACTTGTTTATTCGTTTACTGTACTGTAGTGAACAATACCATTTCCGACTGTTTGAATACCAGAAGAGATTAATTACCCTTAATAGTTAATGTACCACAGCATGATATTTCAAAAGAGTCTTTTTAAATATGAAAATTATCTTATCAGGAACAAGATCTACATTTAAATAGCCGAGAAGCCCATTCATACTATCATACATGTATAATCATGAATGAACAGATACAAACAAGGGCTGATGAAATCTTTTAAACTACAACACTCGTTTAACCATCATTGCTTTTAACATTTTAACGGTTGAGAAACTGCTTTATACCATAATACCCGTATACTGTATTAATGTATAATTTATTTATTTTGAGCAGTAATATTTAGGATATGATCAACTGTCATGGGAAAATAATATGAATTTGAAGGCAAATCAAGAGTGACATCGCAAATGACTGACATCATATTTGCCCTGTCAAATTTCCAATGAGAATATGTCCCTTGAAAACGAGTGTAACCTTTTCATGATTTGGTTTGGTTGTGTGTTACTTCCTTTTAACAGCTATGGTCATTTAAGGACGTGCCAGGTTTTGGTGGTGGAGGAAAACCGGAGTTACCGGAGAAAAACAACCGACCTACGGCCAGTACCTGGCGACTTCTCCACGTAGGTCTCGAACCTGCGACCCAGCGATGAAGGGCTAGTGGTAGCAGAATATCAGACGCCTTAACCACTTGGCCACCGCGGCCTTTTCATGACATAGCATGTTTCAACAAATATATTTATTCCCGGGTGGGGGTTCAAAGAAATTTCATTCACTTCAATCATGACCTGACTCACTACCTGTCAGTGATTCAACAAGATAACATAATTTACGTGCTAGCAAGTACCGTTGATAAAACCCCGCAAATCATCACCAAGTTGTTTCTCTGCTAAAGCCTTGTCAGGTTTTTGTTTGTCTTTTACAGGATGGCGTGTAAACTGTAGGGACCAGCAATGCTGAAAAGATAACTGCTATTCGGTTTCCCATCTTCCTAAAAGCATAGCTATGTGAAATATGTCCGGGAGACAAAATTTTGTTATCACTCTCCAAAAGAAAATTAAATAAAATGTTTTTGTCATTCTGAAGGTGTCAGTCATGTCATGAAGAGAACATGCTATTAATTTTGCAGGTTGTACTTTCGCGCAAATAATCTTCCCACAGAAATGGTTAAAATTGTAAACTCTTCCCTAACCCACCACCAAAAAAAAAATGATAAAAAATCATATACCACACTACCATAACCATATGCCAGTAATGTTTATATTGATTGATATATTTCTATCTCTTATCAATATCAAGTGCTACCAGTTTACCTTAATACATCCGATTGATAGTCGATAAAAAAAATTGAACATCGAGTTGTACACAAGAGGTCCCTGCTTGAAATGTTTATTTGCTACATGCAATAGAACTTTGTTTGGATATTGTGCTACATTGATAAACTTTGTTTGGATGTTGTGCTACATGCAATAGAACTTTGTTTGGATGTTGTGCTACATTGATAAACTTTGTTTGGATATTGTGCTACATTGATAACTTAGTTTGGATGTTGTGCTACATTGATAAACTTTGTTTGGATGTTGTGGTACATTGATAAACTCTTGTTAAGGAATTGTGCTACATTGATAAACATTGTTTGGATGTTGTGCTACTTTGATAAACTTTGTTTGGATGGTGTGCTACATTGATAAACTTTTTTTGGATGTTG